TATACACCTTATGGGGTTCTTGGAGCTAATGCAACGAGCAAAGAGCATGGATGGAATGAGAGTTATCACAAAAAAACCCCCAGCTAATTTCTTAAGTAAAGTTCAAATCCTCCATACAAATCGCATTATCATCACACAAGTTGTGTGTGCACATCAGCACAATATGGGTGCAATTTTCTTAAATAAACTGTACCAACCAGTGGAAGCAGCGGCTGGTCAGAATAATATTTTTAACTTGGCACGGTGGTGATTTGCGTGATTTTTAAAGAAAACATGCCTTTAAAACCAGTTGGTGGGTTTGGGGACTTAGATGGTATTCAAATTAGATCCAAAATACAACTTTTCAGAGCTGTATGTCCCTTCCCTGGGCTAGAATAAAAAACACAATTTCCTCCCCAGTGTCTAAAAAATATTCCACATGCCATCCTCGTTTGGCACCATCTCTCCCCCTCGTAAGTAAGGAACAGTCCCTAAAATGCCAAGACATAAATGCTGGCTAATGCTCTACCGTTATCGTTGGTCGGGTTATGGGGCCAGTTAGAAGACTCAACGTATAAGTATGGAATTAAACCTTAAAGAGACGTCGTTAAGTTCGGGGAAATCCAATGCGTGAATGTTCGTATTTCAGACCGTGGCCACAATTTCAACGCTATTATTTCAAGGCTTTTATTTTCAAGGCAAACCATCCCAATGCACGGGAACTTGACGCAGCAGAACTGCGAGCAAAACATCTGAACCAACACGTACTGCAGAACGGTGTGACGTCACGACGTGTCGACGCAGCTTTGGCTGTGCTTCCCTGACAGTAGCTAATATTCTTGTAATTATTTTTTCAAGACTTTATTTTATCGCAGTGCGAATGACAGTCCGTGAGGGACAGAGACACCTTTCATGTAGTGTAAACCGTCGAGGAATCGATTCCATGGAAGTCGTGGACAGCCCGCTCAATCTCGTAAGTGTCGGTCTTGGTGTTGCAATAACAAGCTAACGTTACTGTAGCTAAGAGATTGCATAGGTAAGCTACAACAGCTAACGTTAGCTCTCATAGTAAGTTAGCGGCTAACCGCTGTGTTTGCCTTGTTCCTGTTGTTGTCCGGTAGCTTGGACATGCTACACGTGATACATTTTGGTTTTCTCCTCGACAGAACGAGCAAGACGTCTGGTGTTGGAACATGGTAGCTACTGTCTGATTTATTATGCTGTCATGACCATATAATGTAAAGAATTACTGTTAACAGCGAGGGATGAATGTATTAGTAACGTTAGTTCACTTGTTGGTAAGGCCATTTGGCAGCAACCTGCAGCTGATTACACATTTACACAGGGTAAATGCTGCCGCAGTGTTATTTCATCTTTATAATGTATCGCTGTTTCCATTAAGGTTAATGACTGTGGTATTCCCCCAAAGACAAGTTACCTGATTTGATGGAGCATACAGCATTATAATCAGCATTATTATTAGCCTATAGGAGTCAGTAACAACCTATACATACATACATACATACATACATATATATATATATATATAGAGAGAGAGAGAGACGGATGACAAATGTAAGGAAATGTGTATCAGGTAGGTGTTACTTCATGAAGTTAATTTGCATTATGATACTCTTACATATTTATTCATAATAATACATTTTAACATATACATGTGCATATCCTTTATACTTATAATGTGTAACATTCCTGTGCAATTTTCTATGGTGCAGTATTTGAACTACTTATTGTGCAATAATATTTATAGATTTCTATATTTTTACAACAAAAATACTACACATCATGTGTGTAACACAGTGATATCCTGTGCAACTGTCAATTATGGACATACAGTATCTGACAATATCTGTATAAGTGAAAGGTGTATGTAGTTTTGTGAATTTCAAAACAATTAAGGAGACTTGCCTTCTCTGTCCACAGACTTTGGAAATTGAGTCACAGCTTGGAAAAATCTTTAGCAGGGCAGCAGGACTTCCCAAAAATATATATTTTTTATCTAGATGGCCAGCAGTCTTTGAGGAAATGACTGTAAAACTACATCCAAAACACTAACTGGTATAGGCTCCAATCCCATGTAGCCCCTACAAAAGAATAAGGGCCAGGGTATAGGTAATGGATTGATGGACAGAGGAATATTTAGATCTCTGACTTTAATCTACTGTTAATACTTGAGAGACACAAGCTGTAACTGTGTGGTGGAGAGAAAGTAAAATAAGTAGATTTTATTTATACAGCACTTCTCACAGAGAGGACTCACAAAGTACTTCACATGGTAAAGATACAAAAAATACAATCAAATATCAGCATATAGTATATCAAAAAACAACAAAATCATAGCAAATGCATGAAACAAATTACAAAAAATAAAATGCAGAGAAATACAGAGACAATACGATAGAATATTGCTGGAATGCATGCCTTAACAGATGTGTTTTTAACTGCCTTTAAAAATAGAGAGCACTGTCTAACATGTCGCTCCAAAACCTCACAGTCTTGTTCATTTGGGTTGAGATCACCTCATGCCCTCTGGATGTGCTTTGAATCCTCCTTCAAAGTCATCTAGATCTTTTCTTCCTGCCATCTTGAACCAAAATCAAGGTCAACTGGACCCGCTCAGAATTCCTGTTTATGTCATTAGGCATTTTGGGATGTTGATTGCTTAATTGTGTCATACAGTACACCAGTAAGGAAGCATAAGCATTTGTTGTGTTTCTCTTCTCATTTACTCATGTTTTTCCTTTAAAGGAGCTGTATGCAACATTCCAGGCAGGCTGGCGCAGGATTGTTTGCACACGCTTCTCAACATGGAGGTGGCAGAGCTGGCGGCTAGCGATGCTAACTCCATTAACAGTGCTGACAACAGTAACAGTGCTGACAGAGCTAGTAGCGTTATCATGAGGTGGGGATTGAGGGTGGGTGCCACGCTTCCGTGACAATATCATCCCGATATAGGTGGTATGAGCACTAGGGCTGTCAAAATTGCTCAAAAATGACGTTCGAATAGTCCTTCTAAAAATAACTCATAGGTTCGAACCATTCGAATATTTTTTTTTCCGCATTATGTCCACAAGAGGGCAAACTAATACAAGGAAACATACTTGTATATGAAACATAACTACCTGTAGGTATTTTTATTTCAACATAAACGTCTTTGAAAACATTTACATACCTACACATTAAAACACATAAAACAATTATCTATAACATTACGTTATAAACGACCGCAGACCTCTCGCTCGCCCCCCCCCTCTCTGACCCGTGACCACACCGCCCGCGGAAGCGCTGCAAATAGCCTCGAAGCACCGGACTGTGACTGGCTCGCGCCCTGCAGCGATCGTTTCGGCGTCTGGTCTATTTTCTGCGCGAGCCGCGAGCGAATGTGTCAAGCCGGGTGACGGAGACAACAGCTGGGAGCAGAACCGCTTGTCGACCAGCGTGGAGAAATGCTCGTCTGATGCCAACGCCCACTCGTTGACAGCCCTAATGAGCACAGTGCAGAGCGGAGGCAATGACCTAGCCAGTAGGATATACACACAGGGAGTCAAATGCACCAACATGCATGCGCGGCCAGCATGGCTACCACAACAACAACAGAGAAACTCGGATTACAACATGCACAGAGGTAGCGTGACTTCCTTCTCTGCTTGGGACGCCATTACTCCACTATATCTTTACAGAGCTAATAGGGGTTTGTTGCTATATTAATGCTCTGAATGTTGCAGACAGCTCCTTTAATTTGTCAACTTTATATCCATAGAACAATCTGTCCTTTAAAATATCTTAAAGCAATCAAGAATTCCCATGATCAATATTGTAAAATACACTTTACACAAATCTTACAAACTAGTTGTGGCTAACAAGAATATTTTGATGTAACAGAAGCAGTGTGGTAACATGTTTGATCTGCAGTTGTAGGGCTGGTTGGATGTGCTGCCAAATACCAGCACTAACAATAACAATAACAACACTGGAGACAGCTTACAGTAGTTAAATGAACATTAAGTTCACAGGCAACAGCTCTGGTGGACATTGCTGCAGTCAGCATGCCAATGACACACTCCCTCAAAACTTGCAACATCTGTATCATTGTGTTGGGTCATTAAACTGCACATTTTAGAGTGTTATTTTATTGTGACCATCCCAAGGCACACCTGTGTAGTAATGATGCTGCTTAATCGCTGTCTTGATATGCCACACTTGTCATGTGGATGGATTATGGATTATGTTGGTCACTGCCATGGATTTTAACATATCTGTGAACAAAATTCAAGAGAACTAAGACTTCTGTGTGCATTGAAAAAGTATTACATATTTTGTTGTAACTCTTGAAAAATGAGAGCAAAAGCAAGTGTTCATATTTTTGTTCAGTGGATGATGAAGACAGTATTGCTGAAATAATGACTGACATTATAAATGGAATATCAAAATTTAGATATCTTTTGATTGAATGTATTAATTGACTAATCGTTTCAGCTCAAGCTGCATCTGTTTAAACCATGAACAAGGAAAGATTACGTTGATTTCTGTGATATTGAATATACTGTGTAAGAACAGCTCCCTCCTTGTACATCTCATCTCATTGTCTGTCTTTCCCACCCACTGCCTCTTCATCTTCTCTTCTAAATTCTGTCCCCTAACTGTGTCTTCTCTGTTTTTGACCCACCTTATCTAATTCTTCTCCCATCCTTCTCTCTTCCCTTCACGTGCCTGCGTTTCTTCAGGCTCATCAGCAGTGCAGGAAGGCAGACCGTTTGCTAGTGGCTGGAAAGTATGAAGAAGCCATTTCCTGCCATGGAAAAGCAGCAGGTAAGTCCAGTGACACTGACACTGTGACTCTAAGGATAGCTGGCCTTGAATAAGCATATGATATGGTGGACTACATTTCATACAGTTTTTGTGTTTCCTATCTATGACATATACTCATATCAAGGTTTTTAGTGTTTTGTTTTGGAGTGAAAAAAATTAAAGGCTTAAAGTCCTTTATCCAACTAAGCATGCATTTGACTTGGTATGGCTTGTAACTTTGCAACCAAATAAGAAATATGATGACTTTATTGAAGTCATCAAAAAACTGCAGTTCTTCCACAGTTGATCTGAT